TAAGTAATTTTTTCAGGATCTGATGCTCACTATAGTTCAAGATTAGTATAACTGAAATTAGAGAGTTCAGCTAAAAGTAAGTATAAAGAAAAGTWCTTGATACAAAATGGGTACATTTATGAATGAAGTTAGTAATTCTTGTGAACACTGAATTTACTCAAGCTGTTCTTCAGGAAAGAAAATTGAAATGAGAAATATCTAACAAAAATCTGATTGAGCAAAAACTGCTGTAAACTGAAAGACATTTAAGACAAACTTTATTAAAAAATGGGGTTGTAATATTTCTTCTTTTAGACYGGATCTTAATGTCTGCTGTGCACAGGCTTAGCAGTCAGGTTGTTACACACACATTTGTGGGTTTCCATTGATTAAATCCATGCTTCTTACTTTGCTTTAAACATACTATTAAAGGAAGMCCTAAACCATAACTATCAAAACTGCAAGATTTGCCAAGTTGCCCCAACATGCCAGGTCCTATATGAACCCTGAATTATYCTCCTGCCATACAATGGGATCTAATTTTGGCATGGAAGTGCCCAAAAGTTGGAAAATATCGGTGAGTACCTTGAAGAAAATTTTAGGCCTTTTTTTTTGTAACCCTATAATCTTTGTACTCATAAGTATATTCAAAACAACAGCAGAAACATTGCCTTTAATTTATGAGAAAGGGGGAATTGGTATCTGGCACTGTACCAGCTTCTTTAAAGAAGAGCACTGAAGTTGTAGTATGTTGAAAAAGACCAAAGTTAAAAAAAGTATTCTTTCTGAGACTTTACAGTATGAATGGATGCCCTCACATATCCACTGGTTCCARCATTAGACCACMGTGACACCTGTACACCTGACATGCCAGGCAATTGTACAATTTAACTACCCAGTTTCATGTCAACCTACAACGTGATCCCCTATCAAATTCAAGTGCTGGTAATCCTGTGTATTGACTTTTACCAGGCATTCTCTGTCTTGTAATCATCACTCACCATTTTGGTTGACTGGCTTATGCCTTCTGATGCCCGTTCTAGACATGCCAGCTCCTTGCAAACAAAATTATTTACAWGGTAAATGGTACTGAACTTTTACAGTGCTTTTAAGTCCTTCCAGACCCCAAAGCYTTTTACACTACAGTCATTCACCCATTCACTCACGATAGTAAGCTACATTGTAGCCATAGCTGCCCTGGGGCACATTGACAAGGGCAAGGCTGCCATGCACCAGTGCCACCAGACCCTCTGWCCACCATCAGTAGGCAAGGTGGGTGAAGTGTCTTGCCCAGGGACACAACAACTGAGACGGCTGGACCGGGTATTGAGCCAGCGACCTTCRGGTTCCAGGACAGCTCCCTTAGCCACTCCGCCACAGCTACCCATGGCTTGTCTAAAAGCGTGCCAAATTTCACTCATATGAAATTCAACCTTTTTTTACAATTTGTTTTTGTTTTTGTTTTGCTATTTTAGATTTAACTTTTGAAATTAGGCTGCTGTAATTAAATTCCCTTGTGGAAATTAAAAAAAAAAACAATTTCTAGATTCCAACAAACAACAGTCTCCCTTTTAAATTTAGACACTGTCCCAAAATTTAGGTTGAGGCTTTTAAAATCTTTGTATATCTYCTTTCTCTGCACTAGCAAATCTCCAGACAACAGTTTTGCTAACTTGTTTTTTTTTTTTTTCTCCCAAGAGAATACTATCTTCTATCACACAGTGACAAGTCATCCAGCTGAGGTGACTCCAGCACAGGAATGACAGCCTGATAGAAATCCTGAAGTGTCCCTCACTAACACACAAYCACAAAACTGTATAAACCCTTGGAAAGGCTCCAGTCTTTCCATTCACAGCTTCAGGACCCTGTGTTGACTGAATTATTTCTCTGACAGCAAAATAATACTTCTTGTCCATTTGTCTTTATCATGGCACTAGGGGTCTTGGAATACCAACCCATTATRGGCTCCTGGATACGGTATCCACTTAACCTTTCCCCCTAAATAAGCCTTAAAGATCAAAATATACTAAGGAGTTCTAGTGCATTTAAGCATTATAACTCTTAACAAATTCCCTTACAAAATTAGTTGACAGAAATGGTATCTAATTGACAAGTGAAATTTTAAATGTAGCAGAGAACAGGCTATTTGTATCAAAAAAATATGTTGACAGGACATTACTTCCCACTCCCACCATATAGCTATCCTCAGACTTCCTTCTGGTCCTGGAACACATCAGTAGGACATTCAATCATCCAGCGTCAGGCAAGAAACACAGAAAATCTATGGCATCAACTCCCCAATACCGCCAGAGCTTATTAACCCAGTTAGTTTTAGCTCCTAACTTTCTTTCTGGTAAATTACCTCACAGTCCGTAACTGCCTGGTGTGAAAGAGTGATTCATCCATGTATGAAAACCAAACCAGGCTTGAGAAATGAGCCTTGGTAAGCATTTTCAAAGCTGGCCCCGTCCTCAATTGCATAGTAATGAATGAGACGAGTTTTGTGGAACAAGGCCAAAGTGTTTGGGAGCCAAGTGTGTACTTGTTCATGTGTGTGTTTCAAATGGTTAGCATTTCATCATAGAGGTTGTGGGGACCCCTGGCACATTTTTCTGCTGATTCGATAGCATTTCACACTCACTCATTCAAAGTAACTGGAACACAGTGTTGTCCAACAAAATGAGGTCAGTAAAAGCTGTGGTGCACCATCAACAGGAGAAGGATGAACATTCCCAACCTAACATACTAGATTATTATTTAAATAACAGAAACACAGGTGCATAAAACTTCAGAAGAACTTGTTTCTGAGAAATGAATGGCTAAAAAATCTGATCTGATCATCATAAATACTGTACATCATGATCTATGCAATAAATTTAAAAAGTGCAATCAAGTAACTTATAAAACACGTTTTAAACAAGATTTAAACAAAGACCTTGCATGATCTGTTTGCACTTATGTATTTGGGAGGACTCAGCTCATACCACAACAGGATTTACTGTAGCTTGATATCCGAGTGTGGTTAGGTCAAAATTGTATTGTGAGCAATAATCGTCAAAAAAATTGTCATTTTTTTCATATGTGGCACTTTGCAACTTCTATAAAATCCAAACACACCAAATATTATAAACTTTATATCACATTGCTCACACAATCTCGCTGTATCTCCATCGCCACTGAACTTCATTTAACTTTTGTTTTTGTTTTTTCTCTTCTTCTTCCTCCTGGAGAATTTTTGGTGCTTGTCAAATAACTTTGGGCCTCAGTAAGAAATCAGTTCTGGGGTATTATGTTTGTCCAGGGAGGGGCGGGGTGAGATCAAAGGGTGGATTGAGGTGTTTTGTCCATGAGACTGCCAATTGTTCTCCATCTCCTGCWGCAAAGCACTTGAAATGACAATCTTTTTTATTTTATTTTAAGTACCGCAAATTATTTATCACAATTGTGCTTTTATTTGGCCAATCAACACAATTGCAAAACTGGTGTAATGTGTACTTTTGACACAACTTGAAATAGATTCTTAGACAGGGCGTATCTTTCTCACTAGATCAATTTAAATCCATGGGGTTAATAATCATAATAATCATTATTGGATAAATGCCACAATTATTCTTGAGGGGTTGATTGCCTGTGGCAGCGATCTTGAATAGGCTTGATGACAAAAAAATAAGATATTGTTCAACTGGTGTTTACTAACTGGGAGTTTAAATGAAATCCATTTCAAATAAAGGATATACGTTAAAAATAAAACATGTTTTTCTTTTCTTTATTTCATTTTATGCATTTGTTACAATTAAGGTGGCATACAAATGTATTAAAAATAATGATCAATTATTCTTTTCAGGTGAAAAGTATAGGTGAGACAGGAAATGATTTTCAAACAGAATTAGATTTAAGAATAACAATTTTTCTAGATCAATGTGATATTTCTGATTTGTTTGTTCTTGTAAAAGTTAGTTTCCATTTTAGTGCATTTTCATTCCCTGACTATAAAAAAAAAATTCTCGGCATCGTGGGTCATTCAACAGACTTCTCTAATGTAATTAAAATATGGCCAACCTTGTTTCAAATATGCAATCCAATAGAGGCTAGAAGAGAAATTTAATAACTGACTTGCTGGATATAAATACAGCTTTATTGTAACCAGGTTACTGCAATGCATGGCTGGTTTCTGTCTGTAACCTCATTTACACAGATGTTATGGTTTCCTGTTTGCATAGAAACACTTAACTGTCTGAGCATAGTACATCTGTTACAGACCTCAGTTTTACAGATTATTTCAGTGTACAACTGCTCTTAAAGAGGACAAAKTCTAAGCAATTTTAGCTCAAAAATTTAAACACAAAATGAGGAGAGTGCAATTTGATCTCCTATACTTAAAAATTCTTAAAAATACAATAGAGACTAACTGTTTTCAGATTTCTCCGGTAAAAAAAAAAATGAAACATTTAGTTTTATGAGGTTTCTGATCCTGTTGCTGACAACAAATTAAAGTGTGGTTGGATTGCAGCAAATGTGGAAAATCTCCTTTAGTGTTAAGGCAAACATGAATGCTTTCTTTATACTTTCAACAGGAGGATTTTATTACCAAATCAATCTATGCCTGCTAAATATTTAAATTTTCATGTTTCATGTAGAACAATGCGAGGTGGAGGAGTGGCTGCTGTTAGTTTTAATTATTTTGAGTCATTGTCAAACTCCTCTTGTGGAACCAATTTACAGTTTCTGTCTGTGAGGCTCACAGTTTCTTTAAGGCTTCCRTTTTGATAAAACCTATAGTTAGGTTTGGTTTCCTGAACTAATCCTTAGTTATGCAGCTATAGGCTTAAACTGCTGGAGGACAAACTGACCACATTTCCTCACTCTGCTGCTGTCTTTAGTCACTCTCTTCTACATGTGTGTTGTTGTAATTATTTCTATCAATAACGTGTTTTCTTTGTCTCTCTTCCAGAGGAAAATACACCTGGACCAGTGTCTGTGTCTCTGTCCTGTCCTCCCAAACCCGTCCATCCTGAGCCTGATTCTGCTGGAGGGTTCTTCCTGTCAAAAGGMTTTTTTTGCTTTCCACTGCTGCCAATGTGCTGCCCAGGATAGGAGACAGTAATAAAGTGAAGTTTCAATGCAAACTCCTGACATCCTTAGATCTATTGTTTGTACAGTTCCATAAGATGACGTTTGATGTWAATAAACTGAATTGAATTGAATGAAATTATGTAAAATAATATTCCAAAAACTGAGCTGTGTTTACCTCAAGCCCCTGATAACACTGATATTTCATTAAAACTTTCATTCTTACATCTGTTGAACTTCCATCTGGTCTCCGCGGTAACAAGATCGGAGTAAGGTCTGCTTCTCAGCGTCCCACAGGTACTCTTTCAGGAAGTTGCCAGCCTGCACCGCTCTCTCCAGCAAGGCCTTGTCCCCCAGTACAGCTCCGACACATGCAAAGGCTGACAGCATCAGGCCTGTCGAGGAGCAGGCAGTAATGATGAGGTTTATGGCAGTGATGAGCTATAAAATAACTTTTACACATACATCATGGTATTTTTCTGCTAAGATGTCACAGTGTGTAACTGCACCGAAGTCCCAGCATAGTTAGCTTTTCCTCTTTGAAGTTTCCTCGTTTGCTCTCGTTCCGTCTCCCATCCCTCTCTCCATTTGTTCTTTCGTCCCTCCACTCCTCTTTCATGTGGAGTATCAAAGGCGCTGGTGCACACCCTGGTCTTCAAAGTGCCACAGCAGAGGACAGGTGATTAATGGAGGAGTTTGTTCATTAGAGAGGGGAAAAAGAGGCTTGGGACTAATTGGAGAGTTCTTAGGATCGCAGAGCTTCATTTGCTCCATAACACAGAGTCTTGAGARATCAGCCAAGGAAACTAAATTTGTGGTTGTGTATGCATGTTTGTTTACATGGGAGCTTAGTAAATAATTACATTTGAGATAATGGGCTAAATAAATAATGTTAAGGAGCATCAAAAATGGCATCACATTAATGCAGAATAARAAGTGTTTAATTATTGTACACATATTATGACACTGAGGACTATACTCAATTGTCATGAGAACAAGAAAGTTCCATTCCCTGTTCTGTCATGGGTTGCTATTGTATTAGGAAATAAAGGGATATGGAACAGTGGTAGGACAGTCGACTTGGGAACAAAAAGTCACAGGTTTATTTCCTGCTGCTGTACCCATATATCATGGCACTCTCTGAGCACCAATAGCTAGAGTTGGGCGACATTGCCAAAAAATGAATCACGATTGATTGTGGTATTTAGCCAATAACAATTAATAAGACAATTAATCCCCTGGAGTCCCTGGATGCCGGTATGCCCTAGTCACATGACTAATTTAAATCACTCAAGTGGAAAAGATTTGCTCTCTGTAAAAATCTGTTCCAAATTGTGTCATCAGTACAGACTTCAGGCTATAAATCACTTTTTAAATTGTGTTGATAGACCAAGTAAAACCAGAGTAATGATAAATAAATTACAGAACCTTTTTTTTAATGTTTGTCATATTTGAAGTGGAGACGAGCATCGAGCAGACTGATCAGGGAAATCTCCAGTCAGTCTGCCAGTGGCGGCATTAATCATATTATCGTCAAGTGCCAAAAGATAATCAATTAGTGTTTRTGATGATTAAGTGCACACAATATGATTTTGCCCAACACTACCAATGGCACAAACACCTCATACCAACTGCCAAGCACAGTGTTGAAGGGCTGATGATATGGGCTCATTTTGCTGCCACAGTAAAGGTACCTTGCTGTCAGTGTCAACCATAAACTCCTCTGTAGACCCAAGTATGATAGAGTCAAATGTGAGACCATCTGTCTGAAGCTTGAACCAAGCTGGGTCAGGATGCAARAGAACACTGATCACAAACACTGCAGGTAATCTACAATAGAAGGGCTGAAACAAAAAGAAAGTCYTTCAATGGTCCAGTCCAAGTCCAGYCCTCAACTTGATTGAAACTTGTTTGAARCTTAAGAGAGCTAAGGGTGCAAACCCTAATGAGCTGATGTAATGATGTGAAGGATAGTGAGGCCAAATTCCTACACAACTACATGGGAAACGAATTAAGTCATACAGAAACAAACTTGCACAGCTACAAGTGGAAATCAATGCATTTTGTTTAATACCTGTGGCTAGATTATTTGTTATGCATTTGTATTATTTAATTAATACTGTACTAATAAACAAAACCCTATAATTGAAAGATAATGGATTTTTGTTCTCCCATGACAGTTTACTGTTAGTAAAACAGCACCACTGTTCACACCTATACAGAAAAATTGTCTGACATTACCATTCCAGGAGGTCAGCATCTTGGAGTCCAGGTGTGGGCATGGTCGAGTCTTCCTTACTTCTGCCATCTTGGCTCTGGCTGAAGCCAGGCATTTGCTGACTTTTTCAACCGTAATGCCAAAGCGAGCAGCTGTTAACTCGACCGAATACCGAACGATCAGCACATTCTGGCCCCGCAACTCCCCATGTGGGTCCTGACAGCAGCAAACACAAGTTGTTCATTGAAACTGACCCATACTAACTGCAACAGATGTGATGTCAATGGCATTTTTTATGTCAATTGTACTAGCTTGTCTTTAATATTTAAATCAAAACTATTGAGCATGAGGTTTAAAAGCCAATGGTGACATAAATGATAAAACACACCTGTTCTGGTTCAACATTGCCTTGCTCTTTCACACCATAATGATGCATAAAGATGTCTGCCTGTGTGGCAGAATCAGTGGCGCCCTCTACCATGTCCGGCAAAAGTTCACGAATTTCTGAGGCCATCCAGACACAGAAGGCCCCTTCTCGCTTTTCTTGTCCCCCTGATGCTGGGACAGAGTCTGCATCCTCTGCACTGTAGAAGCCACCAGACTGGATGAAGGGCAAAGGTAGAACAAAAATTAATGTTGAGCTATTGTTCGAGAAAATTATATACAACCCTCATTCCAATGAAGGAGGGATGTTGTGTAAAGCATAAATAAAAACAAAATAAAATAATTTGCAAGTCCTTTACAACATATATTCAACTGAATACACTCAAAAGAAAAATATATCCAAAGATATTCAATTTTCAAGCAGATACACTTTTGGTTTTTTGGGGGGTTTTTTTTGCAGATATTCACTCGTTTTGAATTTGACGCCAACACATTCCAAAAAACCTGGGACAGGGGCAACAAAAGACTGAGAATGTCGAGAAAAGTGAACAGATTAATTGGAACAGGTGAGTGTCATGATAATGGGAGCATCCCTGAAAGGCTCAGTCATTCACAAGGATGGGGCAATGTTCACCACTTTGTGAACAACTGAGTGAGCAAATAGTCCAACAGTTTAAGAACAATGTGCCTCATGCAAGAACATGTTCGTATTCTTATCCTAAATTTCTCTTACTTTTGTTCGTACAAAGGGTTCGTACGAACATGTCACGTCAGATTCAACAAACTCTTCTATCTTCAMGAAAAGTGTYTAAATGAGCTGCGTAATTTCCACCTGTTCGTATCCAGCTGCTCGTGCACGCGAGAGGAGATTAGCATAATTACCACCCCAAAAACACCATATAAGGCTGTGTTTCCTGCCTCAGATACAAGTGTTCATTCATGAAAAATGACAGCGAAAACGGAAAAAATAAAAACTTTACGAGTTCAGAGATTGAAGTCCGTCTGTCAGAGATCCAGAAAAGAAAATCTGTCATMTTTAGCAGSTCAGCTGRGGBATAAAAAGAGCTGCTAAAAGTATAAACAACTGTGTTAAATCATTTTCATTTATTCAGAAGCCGCAGCGCTGCGCACCGTACCCCCCACCCCACCCCTGATAGACTACAGTCTATAATATCAGCAAGATTCAGAGAATCTGGACATGTCTTTAAGCGGCAAGGCTAAAACCTAACAACGAATGCCTGTGACCTTCAATCCCTCAGGGGGCCTTGCATTAAAAGCCAACATCATTCTGTAATGAATATTACCACATGGGCTCAAGAACGCTTCAGAAAACCATTGTCAGTGAACACTGTTTGTCATTACATCTACAAGTGCAAGTTAAAACTCTACTATGCAAACCTAAGTCAACAACACCCAGACACACTGCACTTGCACACTATGCATTTTCCAGCTATTTTTACTTCCTTTTTTTTACATTTAAACAGATTAATTTTTTTTACTTTTTATTTTGCATTTTTCCAAGTCTGAACAAATAAAACAAACTTAAACATCATGGGTGTTACAATAGTCACGTTTTGCTCTATTAATCCTAGCAGTTTCACATTATTCCAAGGCATTGTACATGTATAGTCCACTTTTCCRAGCATTCAGTCCAAAAATCCCATTTGAGCCCTATGGCAAAAGTCATTTGTTCCATAACAGAAATTTCTTTCACAATACTACACCACTGGGGGTCTGCTTTAAGCCAATTGTGGGTTATAGCCTTCCTACTGCAGGCCAGTAGAATCTTTAACAAATTTTTATGTTTGTGTGGTTCCATTTCAGACATTTTACCCGGGTGTAAAGCTGTAAAAAGAGTATTCTAGATTCATTCCCATTATTTTATTTATTTCATTGGTCACTTCCTTCTAAAAAGGTTGGATCTTTGGACAACCCCAGATAACATAAAAATGATTAGCCATGGAGACTCCAGAACAGACTTAAACTCTGAGAGCTTGACTGTAATGCTATCTTGGGAGACTTAAAAAACCCTACAATGTTTTTCCATCCAAACTCCTTCAGTAATCTTGAATTTTCTGTATATGTTTTGTGTCTTGCATTTCTCCATCCATGTCTCATGTGAAATTTGTAAGCCAAACTCCATTTTACATTTTTATTTAATGTATATCGTGGAATGTTTTTAGAGTTTTGTATATACTCTTATATTCTAGAGACCAAGCATTTTAAAAAAATTCTAAGGAATAACAAAACACAAAATCAGATTTGCATGGTGGTGCAGTTGATTAACACTAATGTCTTACTACAACAAGGTTCATTTCCCAAGTGATACTTTTCTACATGGGGTACATTTTCTCCATGTGCACACATGGGTTTTCTCCATGTACTCAATTTCCTTCATGTACCTCACCTCTCACCCAGTGACCACAGGAGATGAGTACCAGCTTTCAACAACAGGAAAATAAACAGGGATGGATGGATGGATGGATGGATGGATGGATGGATGGATGGATGGATGGATGGATGGATGGATGGATGGATGGATGGATGGATGGATGGATGGATGGATGGATGGATGGATGGATGAATTGCGATGCATTGTGGAGAATACATTTGCACAAAGTTTTTTTTTTTTTGTCTATGCATTGACAAAACACTACTATAAATGTACATTAGGGCCAGAGAGAGCACATAAGAAAAATCACAAAATCCTGTAAGCTCTTTGTTAACATCAGGATCCAGGAAGTAAGTAATTTTAAAGCCACGAGGAGTATATGGCTTCACTAAAGGTAGATCCCACACACTGTGTTGCAAAAAAAAATCTAAACATGGAACTCTAAAGAGAATTACCTCTAAGACAGATTTTCGTTAACCCATAATTACTTAATAAATCTTTGAGGAATATAACAACAACCATGCAGTTTTAATTGTATGCCCTGTTGTCATCTCATTAATCACAACGGACAAAAGGTTGACCCACACTGGTCATTAAAAAAGCTCTTTTTTAGCACGGTGCTAAGAATACATGAATGAAGCACTCGCGCACATTACAGTTCCACACAGAGATATCAGTAGCGGGTCTCCAAATTATTCACCTTATCGCTCAGGTCCCTGGAGACGTAGAGCAGTATGTCCTTGGCCACATCTGCATAGAACTGCTCACCTGATACCTGGAAAAGCAGAAACACAGTAATCATACCTCAGTCTCATAATTCAACCTTAAATCTTGCAAGAGATTTGTGATCTCAATGGGATTTGACTGGATAAATAAAGGTTAATAAATAATGAAATTAAATACAGCATGGTGTGATGTTTGAATGGTAATCCCTACAACACCCAATGAATATTCTGAGAAAAACCCTGTATCTTCAATAAACTCAAGTAAGTACATGGTGCACTTGTTTCCTGAAGGTTTTTTTATAGTTCAGCCTGTGTCTAAACAAAAAGTAATAACTAAATTAGTCAGTTAAACACCCATGTGAACACCAAAAGCTCTGGCACCCAGATTCAACTAGTTTTTGCTGCATTTTAATTATTTTCATACAAATGAAAAACTCCTAACTCTGATGTTCCACCTGTGGGACTTTGGTTGGCTAAGCAACACTCTAATGTAAGTAAATCAGCCTGTGGGAACCTCTATGAATGACACACAAACACAAGAGACAGTTGCACACCTGGAAAGCAGTTATGTAAGCCACAGCCAGCTGAGCTTGGTCATACAACATCTTCTCAAAGTGAGGAACATGCCATGAGGAATCAGTGGAATACCGATGAAAGCCCTGAAAAACAAAAACATAAGTACAGGATGTTCTCTAATAACTACAGTTGGTAGCAAAAGTACTCACCCACTTGGCATTCAGTTAGTTTTAGTAACTTACATCCTCAAAATTAATGAGATGCCAGAATTATAAAAAAGGTGGAAAAGCAGCAATGTTTACTTTTAACTTTTAACAGCCCTTTTGATTATCATACTACAAAGCTAAAATTAAAAAAGGTCATCTACATGGTGTTTTAAAGCACTGAAATAAATGCATTTTCTAATAAAATAAAAATAAGAAGAAAACAACATAAAATTGTTTAGTTAATAAGAGTTATTTAAAACCACATGGTAGTTAAACCAACAACTCTCTTTTTCAGCATTAGGCAGGTCCATACAGTATCTAACAGCACACCTTTACCCTTTTTGTCCACTGAATGACTCTGGAGCAGTTCACTGACAAACACATGGTGAGGTGGAGTCAACAACCAGTTACTTTGTGTAACTGTTCACTTTGTGTTATTTGATTGTTTTGAGATCAATTTTATTGACTCACTGGCAGAACTGAATGGGGTTTTAGAATTTAGCTCATCACATTAAAGCCTGTGTTTCAACAGTTTTTTTTTTTTTCATGACTGGCAGACACAGGAGTTTAGAATACTGCCCAAAACAACACACGCTCACATCAGGTTGTCTTTTACCCAGAATGCATCTCAGTGCCAAGTCCTCCCCTTGTGAAGCTAGACATTCACATACGGTACGAAATAACAAAACATGATTTATCAAACCATGCGCTTTGGTACAGCTTTGAAGCAGACAATTTTGAAAAACAATGCAGAAAAGAACTGAAGTGCATGTCCTGACACTGACTGTATCTAACAAAAAGAAACATTATTTTTCAGTAATTTCATAATAATTGTATAATAATTGTAAATATGTGCAGATACAGCCAAGGTAGCATCAAAAATCTCCAAAAATAATAATAATTTATCATAAAGGTTTTTAAACTTTAACCACTTTATTATGAACCTGTGCCACGTGGTCATGGATGCCTCCCAGTGCCATCATTCTCAGGGTGTGCATGGCCATCTGAAGTGCATCCACCCCTTCTGAGGTGGAGCGATTCACAGACCAGAAGGACATGAGGAACATGAGGTTCACTATGTAAGCACATAAAGAGGAGAAGAGAGGATAAAAAGAAGGAGAAAATGTGAAATAATGAAGTATGAAAGTGAGTCAACTGGTTAATATTAATCCAAAGCCAACAAAGCTGACTTTTAGTTAAGAACATGCAACATGTATGACCCCAAGGTTTACTTTTAAGAACCAAAAAATGATTAAACAAGTTTATTAATTCACTTATAGAATAAAGGCTTTTCTCACTGCAGGGGTCCAGGAATCTGTCTGAACTTGAGTTGGACAGTAAAGTAGAGATATGACATCACTGGATAACAAATTCTAGTGTCCTTTCTGCTGATTTTTTATTGCAGTGCTGACTGTTCAGGAGAGGAATGTATCACATTTAAAGAACTAGTACAAACAGCAACTCCACAACACTGACATCACCACTGGAAAATTTTCACATTAACCTGTTCTTGTCAAAATGGGTGCTTGCCATTTATTACCAAAAGCTTCTACTATCCGACCTTTAATTTTCTTATAGAAAAATTACAATCACCGACAAAATACTGATAGGCTCTCTAAAAAAAGTCTTCATTAGTTGTAACAGAATTGTCTTGTAAAGAGCACATCTGTTCACAATTCAATGCCATCAGAAAATATGGATGCTACTCAATACTGTATGTTTGCATGTGTGGATTGATTCTGAAGTTGTCTCATTTGATCTTGCCACTTCCTGCCTACTCTAGTCCGAAGTCACTTGAATTTGTATCCAATTACCACATATGAAAATACCCTGAGTTTAATTAGAAAAAATTTGAATTTGTCACATTCAGGCTCTGATTAAAAAAATAATTTGGATCCCTTTAGCCTCCAGTGTGAGCACAGGCTTTCTAGTTGTAACAAGCCTAGTGGTGTTATGTCTTACTGATAAACTTTATTCAAATGAGCAGTTGGATAATCTGTCAGATAATCTGAGGTCAGACAACTTCCACTACTTAGATCCATCTCATCCCTGTAATGTTCTGCTCGAGATTTAAATTGTAATAAATTGTTGAAAACCAACATATGTCTGCTACAACACTCCAATCTGAGAATTGAAGGGTAAATAAATAAAGTGGAAATGCTGCGATATGTATTGTCATCACTGTGTTTGCCCATACAATGATGTAACTTACTCTCTGTGTGGCACCCAGTACTAATGGACTATGTAAAGTAACCCCCCTCAAGAATTTATTTTATTTTATTACTTGTGTTTTAATTATTTATATTGTGTGGCATTGACGCACTCACCAGATAATTTCATCAATTTCTGATTCAATACCAATTTACGCCAATAGACGGCGGTAGTGGTGTGTGAGAAAGAGACAGAATAAGCTGTTCATCAGCTGAACAGTCATCAGCTGTGCAGTCGTGGACATCGCATCGCAGTGCATCAGAGCCGCTACTGAAAACCTGATTTCCTTTTTCACAGAATAAAGACACTGTTACACACAAAATCAGTGTGTCTGCCATCTCGTGTGTAACATCTGCCTTTGAACCATCACAAATGTGATATACAGCCAAGGCAGCTATGTAAGCGCCCAGGGAGTAATTAGGTATTTTGAATAATTTGAATAGGTATTTTGTTTAAGAACACCCCAACATGTGGGCAAGGCGGGGAATTAAACCTGCGATTTTCCAGGCCCAAACTGTACACCTCAGCCACCAAAACAGCTGTTTTGTTTGTGTTATGACTAATGGGTTTGTTCTTTTGATCACTGTCCTGTCTACTGATTCCACTCTTGCCTTTTCCCTGCTGTTGTTTGAAAGGCCATCTTCACTGACACTGAAATTAGACAATAAAACCTCTTCAACCAATCAGAAACTATTGGCAAGATTTTGAAGTTATAATATGTAATAGAACTTTAATGAGAAATGAAATGTGACAATAGTCATTTAGAAAGTTATTGTACCTGGTGAAACCTTGAAAACCTGCAGTGAAAACACTGTTTGAAATGACCCTAGCAGACTTCACCTGGGGAGGGGAACTTTGGAGCATTCCTAAAGCCTCCGTACTCCTCCTCATAGGAATGGGCCAACTGCTGGAAGCAGCGATTAGCGACATCCGGAGCCAGGGGAGGGCTTTCCCCTGGGTTTGCACTGATGGTTGTGACTTTCTTTAGAGCCTCGAGTATCCTCACTCCATTTGACTCCAAAGCAGCACGGTTATCCTGCCACTGATGAACAAAAATCACCTTGTACGGTATTAACTTACAGTTATATTCAGACCAAACTATGAACGCATTGTGTTCATTCTGATCATCCGTACAATTCATTAGAAACTAGATATACAGTACTGTGATAAAGCCTTGAGTTATTTCTCCATAATTTGGTTCTTGTATTCTTTTAAACTAGTAATGAGCAAAAATTATCCAGGTTCTCTGAAGTTTTTTTTTCTTTTTTTTTAGCTTTTTAAACATATTTTCAGGTCACTCATGATACTGAACATTAACGTGTGTATTTGAGGAAAGCACTGGTACCTGTTCCATGATTCTAAACAGAACTGTCTTGAATCCAGGTTGCCTTCCTTGGTCTCTGGGTGGGAAGTAAGTACCTCCAATAAAAGGTCGCAGGTCAGGAGTTAACCACACGCTCATGGGCCAACCTCCACCTCCGCTTGTTGCCTGGAAACATTAGTAATAATTATTAAAATGCCTCTAAAGACTCTTTATTTTGACAGTGTAAACGTTAGCAGTTTTTTTACCTGTACAAAAGTCATGTAGACCTTGTCTACATCAGGTCTTTCTTCTCTGTCTAGCTTGATGCAGACAAAGTTGTCACTCAGAATTTGACCAATTTCCTCATCCTGGAAAGACTCCCTCTCCATGACGTGGCACCAGTGACATGTGGAATAACCCACTGGTGGCGAGAGACAAAGAGCTGAAGAAGCACAACTATAGCAAAGTCCAATCCTTGTGACAATGTAAATATGTCCATAACATTATGACCACTCACCAGGGGTTTCATTTATAAAGGATTGCGTGGAAACCATACTAAAGGTGAACGTACGGCCAAAAGGCGGAAATGGCGTATGCCAAAAAAAATTCAGATGTATAAAACAGTGCGTACGCATGTTTCTGCGCATCTTTCTTTTATAAATCACAGCCGCACGTCAGAGTTTGCGCACGAGGTTCCGCCTCAGGTTCTACCCTCTACATGCCCACATTCAACCATAAACAGTCAATGTAAAGTACCTCATGAATGTTAAGATGTATTTAAATCAGTCAGCTGATCAATGTCAACAAAAGTGATTGGCTCAGACGCTCCGTCGTGTGTCTGGAGGTTGACAGGTACAGACTGACAGCTGCTCACGTGAACAGAATGTCTGTAATTGGCAGCTAAGTTCACCGCTCTTCCCCCCTCCCGCTCCC